CAGTGAAATGACAAATGCACACCTTGTTTCCTGAATTGCAGGAAAGGGTACAGCATGTACCCAATTCAGTTGATGTACTTCATCAAGGTCTAAAATTAGACTGAACCTTTGAGTTTCACATACAATATCCCAGTGTCAGAACTGGAGGACTGCTCCAATACTCAGCAAACACTGGAGTCGGGCTCCCCGTGCTGACTGTCTAACCTCAGCACTAACTCCTGGCGAGCACACTGGCAAGATGCAAAGGCACAGGGAGTCCTAAGCTGCTGCATACTCCTTGTTAGCAGCTACAAAGAAGCATTTGCTGTAAGGTCTGAAACATGTACCCAGAAAAGCTCTTGTAATTTATTCAGAACAGAAGCCCAGATTCTAATTACCCACCACACTGAACTGTCAGCAGTTGGTTAGGCTGGGATGGCTGTTCCCTCCATCCTAACAGCAAGCAGCACAGTATTTGGGACTGACAGCGCTTGTTCCGACAGCTTCCCCCCCAATGTAAGTATTCAAGCCCAGCAGCCTCCATTAATAAATGGACTGCTGGAGCACCATTTCCTTCCCTCCAGCTGTGTACCTGGTTGTTGGATAATAGCCATGCATGAGGCTGTTACGTTACTGCTTGCAGGCTTCTCCATAAGGATTAGGGAAGGCACTGCTGTGTCAGCATTAACGCTCCTCCTCCACTTCTGCAGCACCGTAACTACCCTGGTTGCAGCAAGAGCAGAAAGGCTCTTGTTTTAAACGTAAGGCTGCCCACAGCCAATAGCGAGAGACAGTAAGTGAACACTTGGTCACTTATGAACTTCTCAGACCTCGCTTCTACCCTCAAGACATATCCAAGCTGGGATAAGAACGCAGCCCTTTTGGATGTCTTCCACACAGCTAATTCAGATGAGCCACGCACATTTCAGGGCTACTGGACACAAGCCCCGCTCACGCTTAAGCTAGACAGACACCAAAGAGAATAATACTTACTGCACTATCACAATGATAAGTACAGTAATGAAGCTGATGCTTGAGAGCAGGACAGCTACCACTACCAACACAGTCTTCGAGTAGTCTGCCACATCATTCTTCCTTTGAGTCTTCATGAACTGTTCACCACAGCGCTCACCAAAAAAATCCTGATGACACCTGCAAGTAAACATTAACACAGGTTCTTATCAGCTCCGGTGCTGTCTGCAGCCAAGGACACCCACACACACGCAAACCTGACTTAGGCATCTTCAGAGTTTCCCATGAATCTCAAGATGCTCCCTTTAGAGCGTGTTCATGAAATGCAGTCTCTGCTCTAGCACAAGGTTTGTCAGCATTTCAACAAGTCGAGATTAGTTTGGGCGTGATGTTCCAGGAAGACACGCCTTTTCATTCTTTTGGTTTGAGTTTATGACCAACTGATGAGTTCAGTGGCTTGTTATGCATCTCAGATTCCATCATCACTTAATTTACATGGCAGAAAGATTCTCAGTCAAAATACCGCAGGAGACGGCTCTATGCCAAGTTGACACTGATTTTTCCTCTGAGCCCTCACACGCCACTGGCTCATGCCAATCACACCTAACTCACAAGGTACAAGTGACTTACTTGCAGGTCACCATCTGGAGATGTTCTAGGTATATGCATTCACCATGGATGCAAAAGTTTTTGTATTCCATTTCACAGGGAGTTCCTTTCTTTTTGTTTTTCCCTTTGTTTTTCTTCCTTCTTGATTTGCCGGCATTCTTCTCACCCCCCCTCTTTGTTGGCTTGGGTTTAACCACAGGTTCAACTGAAAAAAGGACAAGATGACTCAGTCTAGCAATGCTAGAAAGCTAGATTCCGTGAAAACTGAATTACAGAATTTGGTAGGGGGGGGCAGGGGGATGGCCACTGCAGGAGAATCTGTGACCAGGAAGCATAGGATGCAAGTAAGCATGCAGCTGGGCATCTCACAGCCAGCACAAAGGCAGCAAGCCTAGAAGCAAATGAAGCTCAACTCCGCCACCATTAAGTCCTGTGCAATGCAGACCAAACGCAGTAGGAGCAGATGAGCCGAGAGCGCCACCAGAGATGAAGAGCAGAGCTGAAGGACCGCAGCATTTCACAGCATAAGATACTGGAGTGAAACCATACAGGTTCAAGCAAAAACCTGTAAAGAACATGGAGTTCGCACCGAGCCAAGCCATCCACTAGTTTAGCATCGACTCAGATACAAGGCTAACAGCCTCCATCTCTCTAAACTCTCCATTTGCATCAGTGATGAAAGGCATTACAACTCACTAGATAGTCCTGGGTGCTTGCAGAGGCAAGACAGCTTGCTGTCCCAGTTAGCATACTTGTTTCTCCCAAATAACCTGTAGTGCTGTCTTCAGCAGAAGATAGTTCATTTCCAGTTCTCCTACTTTGAGGAAGATGCCAAGTGCACCGAAGGAGTGAAAGCAGGGTAGTCCGCAAGAGTCAGGTTATTTGTTCTGTGCTTACTGTTGCCCCTCATTATCTCAATTAAGACAAACCTCTAGAAGAGCGTGGTTTAAAATGCTGGTGACTTAGTAGCCTTTGGATTTAAGAGAAGGCAATCATCTTCCTTTCACTTGGGGAAAACAAGCTAAAGCCAGTCACTGACTAAGGGTCATAAGCTCTGCGGCTGCTCCAAGCAGCAGCCAAAATTCCACAGGATTGTTTTAGAGCAAGTTGCTAAAACACTGGTTCTCTGAAGAAACCGTCCCTTTACTGCTGGCCATAAAGTGAGTCTTCTCAGTGTGACACTGTGCTATTCAGGAGTGACAGTTAAGCAGGTGACTTTGAACAGGTCTTAAGAACAGTAGAGCTATTTACAGTGCTCTTAAATTTCTCTATTGTGCTCTGCAGACCTAATGAAAATAATTTTTGGAGTACTAATATTTTACCCAGAGCACTATGCATATAGGCAATCACCACAATAGGATGCAACTTGATCCAACTGCTTCAGAACCCTGTATTTCTAGTGGCGAGAAGAGAGCCTGCACAAAGAAACAAGGTGTAGTTCACTGTTGTCTAGACAGCTGATTGTTTTAACTTCTAGAGCAACAAGCCTGGCTTGAAGTTACTTAAAAGCAAAAACGCCTTCAGCAACCAGAAGTCCAATTCAAATGGTATAAGCTATATTAATATGTAAACGAGGAACACTGCTCCTGCAGCAAGGTTTCCTGTCCCTAGAAGTGTGAGCTTACTGCTGACAGCCGAGGCCCCTGTTCTGTCCAGTTCAACTTGCTATTTAGGTTCACACTTTCATAATTAAGGCTGTTTCCATTCTTCCCTCTTCGAGGCTCGGCTTGTCAGTTTGATCTCTGTGTCCCTGTCTGCAAGCTGCGTAGCCAGGAAAGCCATCCGCAGTTGAATCATTACAGCTTGAAGGCTCCACAGATAAACCTCATGCCAAGTAGAAGAGCTGGTCTACAAACCAACCACCTTTGGTAACCATTCTGGTTCCTGTGCAGTTATACAACGCTTAAGTCACCAAGCCAGTCGTTTTACAGGCCCAACTGCTCAAGAACTCTGACATTCCTGTTTCCCCTGGAAGTCTTCAACTCATGAAAAACTTCAGCAAGGGTCCACAAACTCCCCAAACTAAGTATCTGGAGCACAGTTCACCCTCACCTAAGAGATCCTTTAGGCTCATTCAAGTCTCGAGGTGTTTCCGCAGAAAAAAATAGCCAGATCCACCCTAGAGGGCAACAGCACCAGCCTACTAACATCTACAGAGCTAGAAATCACTTGGAGGTACCTGGCGTGTCTTATAATTGCAATTAGGCCAGAACCAACAAAATCCTCCCATCCCTGTAGCCAGGAGGGCTATTAATATCTCCTCACACCTTACAAGTGGACAAATTACAATCAATCCACACAATAGCTATTGACAGTGAAGTATTGCCTGAAAGACGCTTAACAAACTTTTCTGTAGCCACTTAAAGAGGTTTAAATTTTGGCTTTTGCAGGAAATTTTAGTCAACTCCAACCCAAATAAGCCATCTGGAGAAAACGCCCAGGAAATCCTTGGAGCAAGAAAGACAACCCGATATTAAACCCACCTTTGGGGCCAAACGGCACCCGTAAGCCCCGCTGGGGCTTCCACGTTAAGTAGGTGGCAGCCACCCCACCACAACCTTCTTGTCAGGTCTACCAGAGGAGAGCAGTCTAGCAGGCACCCTGCCGCTTCCACACACTCTAGTTGCGTTCACGCTAAGTTTTCATCCCTGACAACTTATTTTTAACGCAAGAGTTTCAAGCAGAAGCACGCTTTTGCTCCATGCTCTAGGAGCTAAGCGCAGCAGCCTCACAAGAGAGACAAGTCCGAAAAAGCGGGGGCTTCCATCTAGAGAGCCCTCAGGCCTGGCGCCGAGGAGCTGACGAGCCCCTCTCGCACCTGGCCCCGTCCCTGCAGACTCACCTCGGATCAAGTCATCCACGATGTACTGGTGGACGGGCAGCGCTTCCTCGTACTCCTCATCCTCCTCGTAGTCGGGACCCGACACG